CCCCTCACTGATTACAAAAATCATCCATTTCCTCCCAAAATTGCCTTTTTTCCCTCAGGGATCCCCAAATTAACCCATTTCACCCCCAAAACCACACATTTTCACCCCAAAATCAAAATTTTCCCCCTCACAAACCTCAAAATCACCAAATTCACCCCAAAATCAACAATATCACCCCAAAATCAGCTTTTTTTACACTCGGTGATACCAAAAATCACCAATTTCATGCCAAAATCACAATTTTCACCCCAAATCACCCATTTCACCCCAAAATCACCAATTTCACCCCAAAATCAACTTTTTTTCTCCTCAGAAATCCCAAAAATCACCCATTTCTCCCCCAAAATCAACTTTTCCCTCCTCAGGGGTCCCAAAAATCACCAATTTCACCCCAAAAATCACCCATTTTACCCCAAAACCAACTATTTTCCCCTTCACAAACCCCAAAAATCCATTTCACCCCAAAATTACCAAACTTACCCAAAATCAATTTTATTTCTCCTCACAGACCCTCCAAATCACCAATTTCACCCTAAAAATCGCCCATTTCACCCTAAAAGCAACTTTTTTCCCTCTCAAAGACCCCAAAAATCAGTCATTTCACCCCAAAAACACCCATTTCACCCCAAAAATCACCCATTTCACCCCAAAATCACCCATTTCTCTCCAAAATTAACTTTCTTCCCCCTCACAGATCCCAAAAATCACCATTTCACCCCAAAATTTAATTTTTCTCCACTCAGGGATTCCTAAAGTCGCCCATTTCACCCCAAAATCACCAATTTCATCCCAAAATATAATTTTTCCCCTCAGGTATCCCAAAAATCACTAATTTCACCCCAAAATCAATTTTATTTCTCCTCACAGATGCCCAAAATCACCCATTTCACCCCAAAATCACCTTTTTTCCCCTCTGGAATCTCAAAAATTACCAATTTCACCCCAAAAATTGTCTATTTCACCCCAAAATAAATTTTCCCCCCTCATGAACCCCAAAATCACCCATTTCACCCCAAAATAAATTTTTCTTTCTACTCACGGATCCTAAAAATCACCCATTTCACCTCAAAATCAACTTTTTTTTTGCACCTTTCACCTTTTTTTCTTCATTTCCCCTGCTTTTTTTCTCATTTTCCCCTTTTTTCCCCTTCTTTTTTCTTCATTTTCCCCTTTTTTTCTAATTTCCCCCCTTTTTCTCTCCTTTTTTCTTTAATTTCCCCCTTTTTCCCTAATTTTACCTCTTCCTTCTTTTTCTTAATTTCCCCCTATTTTTTCTAATTTTCCTCCCTTCCCCTCCTTTTATCTCTCATTCCCCCCCTTTCTCCTCATTTTTCTTCATTTTCCCCCTTTTTTCATTTCCCCCCATTTTCTCCTCCTTTTTTCTTTAATTTCCCCTTTTTTCCTTATTTTCCCCATTCCCTCATTTTTTTTCTAATTTTCCCTTTTTCCCCTCCTTTTTTCTTCATTTCCCCCCTTTTTTCTTCATTTCCCCCATTTTCTCCTCCTTTTTCCATTTCTCCTTTTTTCCCCTAATTTTCCCCATTTTCTCCTCATTTCCCCCTTTTTTCCCTATTTCCCCCCGTTTCTTCTAATTTTCCTTAATTCCCCACTTTTTTCCTAATTTCCCCCCTTTTTTGCCCCTCCTTTTTTCTTTTTCCCTCAATTTTTTCCTATTTTTACCCTTTTTTCTTCATTCCCCCTTTTTTCCTAATTTCCCCCCCTTTTCCCTCCTTTTTTCTTCACTTCCCCCTTTTTTCCTAATTTCCCCTTTTCCCTCCTTTTTTCTTCATTTCCCCCTTTTTTCCTAATTTCCCCCCCTTTTCCCTCCTTTTTTC